TAGCTGGGACTACAGGCAACTGCCATCACACCCAGCTGGTAAAATTAACTTTTAATAAGCATGAGGGGTAGTGATGATGAGGTCAGGGCTAGAGCCAGATAGCCTGAATTCAAATCCTGCTTTCTCTTCTCTAGGTGGGTAGTAGCTGTGGGCAAGTTACTTAACCTCTTTGAGCCTCTGATTTCTCACCTGTCCAGTGGGGGTATGAACAGGCCCACCTCACAGTGTTGCAAGGATTCAGTGAGTTCACATGAAGTGATTAGAAGTGATTGGGGCCGGGTGCAGTGACTCACAACTGTAATCCCAGCACTTTGGGAGGCTGAGGCAGGCAGATCACTTGAGGTCGGGAGTTGGAGACCAGCCTGACCAACATGGAGAAACCCAGTCTCTACTAAAAATACAAAATTAGCCAGACATGGTGGCACATGCCTATAATCCCAGGTACTCGGGAGGCTGAGGCAGGATAATCGCTTGAACCTGGGAAGCAGAGGTTGTGGTGAGCCAAGATTGCACCACTGTACTCCAGCCTGGGCAACAAGAGCAAAAAAAAAAAAAAAAGAAGTGATTGGGCTGAGTGAGTCCACACCACATGAAGGGATTAGAAGTGGTGCATAGCGAGTGTGTAGAAAGTCCTCTCTTAAGGATTACGGTCAAGAAGAAAAAGAAAGAAAAGGGAAAATGCTCACCATTTGAGACCTGTCTGGAAATTGCTATACCTAGTATAAGTTTCTTCTCAGCTCCAACATCTTTGATCGTGATTTTATCAGGAAAATACTAATAAAGCCACTGTTTTGTTCGACTTCTGATACTTGCTTTTTGAAAAAATAATAATACCTTGACTTTTTAAGGATTCAGTGAAAATGCTGTTCTTCAACTTCATTTTGGGGCCCAGAGTGGGATTCACTGCTTCACTTGCTCCTTGTGCACACATTTGAGTGCCTACTGTATGCAGGCACTACAGGGGAGACAGGGTGACCAGGACAAGTCTTCCAACCTCAAGGAGCTTCAAGTCTATTGGGGTTGGGATGGATTAGTGGCGCCACCCCCCGTCACCATAAGCATGAGACACAAGCCAAGGAGGCTCTGTGTGGCAGGCCCACTGACAATGCTGGAGCTACTTAGTGGGGCACACTCCAGGAAGGCTTCCCAGAGGAAGGGGCTTCCCATCCCAGAGGTCTAAGACCTTAAAGCCCCACCAGGTATTAGCTCATATCTCCAGCCTCTAACATATTCCTAGGGACAGAATTGTTCAGGTGGGACGTGTCGAACTCAGCCGTAACCCAGAACCTCCAAGATGCCCCAGGCTGGAACCACGCTGGCCTCTCCTCTCTGCCAAAGGCCCCTTCAAGGATGAGGCCCAAATCCACTCAAGGACTGTTTACCACCCAGTTATATTGCAGACCAGAGAGGCAAGCTGGCAGCCTGCATGCCAAACCCAGTAAAAATATGTTTTCGTGGACCATAGAGTATTTCTTTGCATTGAATTATCACCAGGACTTAAATCAACATTTTATCTATTTAACCAACATTATCACCAACATTTATCACCAGGAGAGTTCATGTAAAACTGCACATTTCCAGCCTCTTTTGAAAGCTTCGGTGAGGCAGCCTTAGCCTAAATTTGCCCGGGGCAGTGATGGGGGCACTGAACATGACTATCCCTCAGAGTCCATTGGGAGCCATGGAGGATGCTAAGCAGAGGAGGAACAGGATCCCTCTGGCTATGTGTGGAAAATGGGCTGCAGGGATGAGGGAGCCCATTGGAGAGGTGACTGCAACTGTCCAGGCAAGAAAGAACAGTTGCCCGACCAGGTGGGAGCAGTGGGCCGTGGGTCTGATTCTCGCACTGTTTTAAAAGAAGAGACTTCCTGGGAATTATACACAAGGTGGTAAGGATGAGGCCAGGTCTTTTGTCCTGAGCAATTGGAAAGATGGGATTGCCGAAAGCTAGGGAGGGAAACCACCAGTGGGCAGAGAAAACCAGGATCCCATGGCAAGTTCGAGATGCCCCTCAGACAGCCAGGTGGGAGCGTCAGGGAGGCAGCCGGTTGGGGGTCGAGTTCAGGGCCGAGGTGGGGGCTGGAGAGAGAGATGAGGAGCAGCCAGAGTAGAGATGGTGCTTAGTGCTGCAGGCCTGAGTGGGCACAACTAGGGAGAGGACCTGGGGCCACTCAACCTGGAGAGGTCACCTTCCGCCTGGGAAACCCAGCAGGGCACAGGGCAGAGCTTCCGCGCTCCTTCCCTGGTGGACCCGCTGACCCCTCCGGTGTCCCTTCCCCTCTCTCCCAGGGCCACTGTTCCCAGATGTGCCACAACGTCTTCATCGTGGAGTCGGTGTGCGTGGGCTGGTTCTCCCTAGAGTTCCTCCTGCGGCTCATTCAGGCGCCCAGCAAATTCGCCTTCCTGCGGAGCCCGCTGACGCTGATCGACCTGGTGGCCATCCTGCCCTACTACATCACGCTGCTGGTGGACGGCGCCGCTGCGGGCCGCCGCAAGCCCGGCGCGGGCAACAGCTACCTGGACAAGGTGGGGCTGGTGCTGCGCGTGCTGCGGGCGCTGCGCATCCTGTACGTGATGCGCCTGGCGCGCCACTCCCTGGGGCTGCAGACGCTGGGGCTCACGGCCCGCCGATGCACCCGCGAGTTTGGGCTCCTGCTGCTCTTCCTCTGCGTGGCCATCGCCCTCTTCGCGCCCCTGCTCTACGTCATCGAGAACGAGATGGCCGACAGCCCCGAGTTCACCAGCATCCCTGCCTGCTACTGGTGGGCCGTCATCACCATGACGACGGTGGGCTATGGCGACATGGTCCCCAGGAGCACCCCGGGCCAGGTGGTGGCCCTGAGCAGCATCCTGAGCGGCATCCTGCTCATGGCCTTCCCAGTCACCTCCATCTTCCACACCTTCTCCCGCTCCTACCTGGAGCTCAAGCAGGAGCAGGAGAGGGTGATGTTCCGGAGGGCGCAGTTCCTCATCAAAACCAAGTCGCAGCTGAGCGTGTCCCAGGACAGTGACATCTTGTTCGGAAGTGCCTCCTCGGACACCAGAGACAATAACTGAGCGCAGAGGACACGCCTGCCCTGCCTGCCATCTGTGGCCCGAAGCCATTGCCATCCACTGCAGACGCCTGGACAGGGACAGGCCGCTTCCGAGTGCAGTCCTGGCGCAGCACCGACTCCCACGCACCCGGGGAAGGACACCCTCACTCCCACACCCCCGGAAGGACACCCGCCCATCAGCAGAGGGGCCCTGCCCCTCCGCCTGCAGCCATGAAAGGAAGCCGGGTCATCAGCCCAGCCCCGCCCGCCCCAGCCCCTATGTCTGTTACCCTCAGTAAGGAGATGGCTTATTCTTTTCACCATGCAAATAACACATGCCCAGCAAAAACTTGCTTTATGGGTCTGCCTGGAGAAAAATACAAACAGCAACAACATGTCTGTCTCTAATGTGGATCATGTCCAGGGAAAGGAAACTGATGAAAAAGAGAGAATGCCTTCCATGGGGCTCTCTTAAAAGGGGGAGCTGGGTTTCCCAGCAAAGCCAGCGTGTGGGGACTGGAAGTAAAGGGCCCTGTGTGTTTGGGTCGTTCAGGCCCGGTGGGGCCCTACTGGGCCTGAAAAAGAGAGAGAACAGACACTTTTAGGAAAATGACTTGTGAATACTGTACTCCCTGTCTTGTTTCTCTTTGACTCCCCCCACCTCCGGGGCCTTTCTTTCTCCTTTTTCCCTTTTATCCTTTTTTCCTTCTCTTCCGTCCTCTATTCACCTCTTTCACCCCTTAGGGCCAGTTTCTCAAACTTTCACACAAAGGCGCCCCTGACAGTTGAGAAGTCATCAGGGGGCCTGTCAGCATTGTTGACTATGAGGTGAAATCACTTCATTTTATCTTTTAAAAATCGTGTAGGGTTTTTATTCTATGCATTTATTTTAAGCTGTGAAAAAATGCTTTACATCATATACCTGCATATAAATCTAAACCTAGAGCAGGGACAGATGTTTTTGAAAGGGGGTCTACAGTTCCCTGGGCAGACTGAGAAGCACAGTCTGCAGCCCCCACAGGCCTCCCTGTGACTCCAGTGACCTACAGAGCACCCACCCGACCTGCGACCTACACCGACCCCACCTGCAACAGGTCCCCAACTTCATATAGCATATGTGACCCACAGTAGAGAAAGCACCCAGGCCAGTCCAGCAGATTCCACTCCAGCTGGCATACAGCCCCTCAGTGCCAGGCGTGGGGAGGGGGCTTCCCACTCAGGTCACGGTCACAAGCTTGTCCTAACCCATAAGGACACAGCCACATCATTCCCATCCCAGCACCTTCACACCTGCCCATCCCTCTGCCAGGGATACCCTTCCTGTGGAACACTGCATGGCTGGCTCCTTCCCTGACCACCTCTCAAAGAATCCACATCAGCACCACCACCACCGCTTTCCTCTTAGCCAGCTTGATCTTCTATATCCAGTCATCAGCCTCCAAAATTGACTCATTTATTCCTCTTCTTAGCTACAGGACTCAGCAATATGGCTCACCATTGACTCCCAGCACCTCATGTAGGGCCTGCACCTTGTAGGTGCTCAATAAACATTTATTGAAGGAATGTTAGCCAGGTGTGGTGTAGACCCAGCTACTTGGGAGGCTGAGGAAGGAGAATCCCTTGAACCCAGGAGTTGGAGGCTGCAGTGAACCATGACTGCACCTGAGAATAGCCACTACATTCCAACCTCGGCGACAGAGCAAGACCCTGACTTTAAGTAAAATAAATTAATTAATTAAAAAAAGAATGAAGGGAAATAGGAAAGATGGCCAAAAAACAGAAGGCATTTATTTTTAACATTGGACACTGGGTCCTCCAAGCACCTCTCTCTCTCTCTTTCTCTCCCCTCTCGCTCCTCTTCGTCCTCCTCTCTCTCTCTCTCTCTCTCTCTCTCTGTCTGTCTTTCTCTTCTCCTCTCTCTCTCCTCTGCCCTCTGTCTCTGGTGGCGAGGCCACCACAATCTCAGTACAATATACACGCGGTGATGCAGAGTGGAAATATCAACTGAGTCACGAGGGCCTCGTTAAAGGCTCCCTTGACACCTGCTTCCAATGACTCACGTCTGAAAAGTAAGTTTTCTGACTAATTAGCGCTACCTTCCCCAGCCCGGTGGGTGTCAAGTAATGGTGCACTGCCGTCATCTTTAATAATGCCTGAGATTTATGGAATGACCTTTTATTCCCCTCGAAAGGGGCTATGAGAGGCAGGAGGCCACTGAAAATGCTAAATAGACAGAAATATGGTACCGAAAGAAGTATAAAATGGAGCCCTTTAAAATTCAGGAGAGCGAGAAAGTAAGCCATGTGGGGTGGGGGGCAGATCCCTGAACACAACAGCACTGGGAGGGAGGAGGGACAGAGGCTGGGGTTGTGCAGGGAAGCTGGGGCCCCTGAGTGGTCAAGGTTTCTGGCATCATCTTGCAGGTTCTGACCTGTCCTGGTGGCTGAGGCAGAGGCACAGACTTGGGCACCTCCCAAGACCTCACTTGAGAGAGGGACAAATGTACTCCCGATCCTGACCCTCATGCCTGGAGCGGGCCTTAGGGGCTATTGGCCCTAATTCCAAAGCTGGGAGGCTTCTGGACACCTAACAAACCGCTTCCAGGACTGCAACTCTAAGATTGTGACTTTTCTACCTCTTTTTTTTTTCTTTCTTTTTTGAGACGGAGTTTCACTCTTTTTGCCCAGGCTGGAGTGCAATGGCGCAATCTCAGTTCACCACAACCTCCGCCTCCCGGGTTCAAGCGATTCTCCTGCCTCAGCCTCTCGAGTAGCTGGGATTACAGGCATGCGCCACCATGCCTGGCTAGTTTTTGTATTTTTAGTAGAGACGGGGTTTCTCCATGTTGGTCAGGCTGGTCTTGAACTCCCGACCTCAGGTGATCCACCCACCTCGGCCTCCCAAAGTGCTGGGATTACAGGCGTGAGTCACTGCGCCTGGCCTTCTACCTCTTTTTTAGCAATGGAACCTATTTTTCGCATGGAATCTGATGCAGACAGCCACAAATCAGATGGGATAAGAGCTGTTCTGATCAAAGTGTGGGGATACAGTTCCTTATGGGAGGCCCCTAATGGGACTTGCTTTTGACCCTGGTACAGACAACTAATTCCATACACGCAGGGGACCATCACTCCTCTGGGGGAAACAGCAAAACAGAGCTTTCTAAATGTATTTTATTTTGTAGGTCACATGGTTTATCCCCCATGTCTCAGAAGCTCAGTGCTTCTCTGGGACTCACAGTTGAGGTCAGAAAGGCTGATTTAACAACACAGATTCCCAGGTCTCACCTGTGAGCAGGGCCGGGAACAGTGAGGCACTTGCCTTTGCGCCAAAATTCAAGGGAAAGCCCAAGAAATCAGTAGTGGAGATCAATCACACTTTAATGTAATATTTTTAGAAATCAGAATTACTGCCAAGAAATTCACAATGCATAACTTTTCAAAACTGCAAAGGATCTGTCTTTCCACTTACTTTTGTTCTGGTCTTGTCCCAATACCCCTGATACGTCCTAGCGAGATAGCTCTATTCAGCCGGTCCCCAAAGAAGCACAGGTGGGGGTCTTTGGCATGAATACCACAGCTGCCAGGGCACAGGTGTCCCATCCCATTGACAGGCATCAGGGTGGGTACCGGCGACACCCCCTCCAATGCTGCAGCGAGCATTGGAGACCGGGCCCTTGCCCTTGTGTAGACTACACAGGGGTGGCAAGAGAGACAGACAGTGAACATGTGATCAGAAGAAAACAATTTCTGATGTTGGTGAACACAAGGGTGACCTGGCAAAGAGTAACCAGGTGGGGCACGGCCACTTTCAGATGGCGCGATGAGGGAAGGACCTGCCGAGGAGGTGGCATCTAAATGGAGACCTGGAGGAGAGGGAGAGGCAGCAGTCCAGTCGGAGGAGACAGAGGTGGAGAAGACCGGGACATTCCACCAGCCGTCAAGGGAACACGTGGGCAGAGACACAGCTCCCTGCTGGGATGCACCCAGGGAGAGGTCTCAGAGGTGCATTTCCAGAGCCCCTACTGTTAACCAGGCCCTGTCACAACAGCGGGGCCAGAACTGGACTCAGTCCCTGCCCTAGAGTTGCTGGTAATTTGGTGGAGGGAGAAAACCGAGTGAATAAAATATTTCCGCACATGTGGGATGACAGAGGGATGAGGCCGCAGAAGCCTAGAAAGACATCAGCTAAAGAAAGTAGGATTTTCACTCAGATTACCGTTTGCTAAAATGGCCTCACATCTGTTTTCATTCTGAAAAAAGAAATAGGATTCCCACTAATACTTATCTCTCACTCTCTTCCCTCACCCGCTCCCCATCCAGTCCTGTTAGCCTATATCCGGAATCCTACCACTTTCCTCCTCCTCCCGTCCTCTCCCTCCTGGATGGTGGCAGGACGCCTCCTGTCTCCCTGCTCCCCTGCCTCTCCCCTACAGCAGCAGGAGGACCCTGTTAGAACCCAAGTCTGATCACACTCCACCTCTGCTCAGAGTCCCACCCCTGCACTCCAAAACCCCAACCCTGACAGTCTATCTTGCTCACAGTCCAAGCCAGAGTCTCTCTCAGCCCCAGCTCCCGACCTGGTCTCCTTGCCTCCCTTCGTCTCTCCTTTCTGATTACACTGACCTCTTCTCTATTCATTGAACAGACCAAGCACTCTCCTGCCTCAGGGCCTTTGCACTCGCTGTTCCCTCTGCCTGGAGGACCCTTCCCGAAGACAGACCCGCATCACTCACTCACTCTTTCCTCACTCAGGTCTCTGCTCCAATGTCCCCTTATCTGGCTCCTTCTCCCAGCTCTGTATAAAAGTCCACACTCCGACCGTGTCCCCAGTGTATTAAATATGTCTTTTTTTCTGTATTCTGATGCTCTGTCCTCTGGGACCTTGCTGACCCTGGAGGGACCGCCCCTCCCAGAGTTGGCCAGTTCCTAGAGATAGTAAGCAACTCGCCTGGAGTGCACCTTTCCTATGCAAGCCGTGGAACCCAGAACGCACACCCCAGCCGCCTCCTTTACTGAGCTCTCAGACTCCAGGCCACTGTCCACCTGGCTTAAGTACTCCAGGGCCAGGTACCAGACAGCTAAAGGAAGTCCTCATGTCCAGAACCTGCTGAAATTAGTCAAATCAGCCAACCCTAAACCTGCTCACCCTGTCCCATGCCCATTCCTCTCCACAGAAACTACTGTAAACACTCTTGCCCATACTCTCCCCACCTCCTAACTGGCCTGGGTGTGCCCCTGTGTGTCTCGGTTCCATGGTGTGGCATGCCACCCTCCTCTTGGGAACTGTGAGTAGCAAACTATCTTTTCAATAGCAATCCTCTTCAGATATGTTAGCCTCACCAAACCTGAATAAAATCAAACCTATATTTTAAAGCACCAGCCCCTTTACCCTA